AGGGTCTACCTTGCAATATAAAGCACCTTGAGGCGACTGTTGTTGTGATTTGGCGCTGTATAAATAAAATTGAATTGAACTGAGCTAAAACTCTTCATATGTATTTTTCTTTTGTCTAATCATGAGTGAAAAACTCAGTCGTTAAACCCGAGTTGAACAGAAGGTCATCACAGCGGAGCAGCTGAAACCAAACAAGCCTGACATTTGTTTCCTACAATGACCTCTTTACATAAAATATCATCTGCAAAGCAGTTACTACATTAGTGAAACATCTCCTGTGGTGGTTTGAGGGCAGCGGCTGCAGAATGAGCCGATTCCCATGTTTCTCTCAGAAGCTGCGAGGAGTTGTGATGAGGATTGTATCTGCAGTGTTTAGAAACACATCAAACCAGCAATTCTGCCCTCAGGTCAACGTCTGCTGAGCACTGAACAAACCCCGCCTGCTCTCTGTGACAGATTCAGCAGAAGACCTCTAAAGTTTATATTTGCCTTCCTTTGAAAGCTTATTTTAGTGCTCTGCTTTGATTGTGAAAGTGTCTGAAACGCCACAGATCTGTCTGAGCTGCAGCTCCTCTGCCAGTCTGATCACAGCATACGGACGCTGACTGAAGCAGCTGATGAAAAGGTTTCACAGTCTTTGGCTTCACAAAGACTCTCGTGTTTAAAACCGAAGCCCATTCACAGCTGATGGGCTGTTTGCAAAAACCCAGATGACAAACTGCTTTTCAGCAGCCGTAACTTTAAATCAAGTGTTTAAAGCCACACGTTACTGTCTGAATAGAACAAATAACATCTGCATTAAAAAGACTGCTATGAAAAAAGCAAAGGTAGAACAAAAAGTAAAGCCAGCTGTAAAAAGTACCAATAGCATGAAAATTCAATTTTAGTAAGTAAGCAATAAGAAGTTGATATTAAACTGTGAAACTGCAGCATGTATGCAAAAGAAGACAAATATTTAGCAGTCATCTTGACGACAGTGATGAACTGATGGGAGCTCAGACTCACCAAACCATGCAGGAAATAATGAAATGAATCCTCTCCCATGTGTTGTGGAAGTTTTCCACTTAAGTAAAGCCTGCAGACGAGCGGTGAGTGGTAGCTAACATTCTTTAATCAAAGCACACAAAGACAACATACAACCAAGCTTGATGAAGTCCCCCATGACCGCGGGACAGACGGTCAGCAGAGTTCTTTCTGAGCCTAGCATGGCTCTCAGTTAAATACCTTCTCCAGGAACAAAAGGCAGTACACAGCTGTTTCACACCTTAAGGTTCACATTCCCTTTCTACTTCCCAGAGTCCTCGAAGAGACAAAAGACTGGTCCTCTGGAGTTCCTGTTTCCCCCAACATCCTTACTACACCCCCTACCATTTGTCTTAAGTATGAGTGTCAGACATGTTGAGATCCAGTGGCACCAAGGCATTATACAAAAATAATGTGATTAATACATGAGTGAAAGAAATTCCTATACACATGACTTTGGCCCTGCTGCAAACACTGGTCTGTAAAAACTGATTAATCATTCTGATCCCGAACATGAGCTCACAGCTTTTATTCATAATGTTTCCAACAGCAGCAGGGTCCATATGAGAGACCCCAAGTACTATATGGAAAAACTGCAATTCAGTCTCAAAAGTAATTGCACAAACTAACAGCTGCTGCTGTGGATCTCTGCCTTCAGAACTGAAAAGACGTCTCTTGATTGCAGACCTTCAAAGTGATACACCTGCCCCCTCCAGGTGCTCCTGACCTTTTTAGATGTTATAAAGTTTAGTTTGACTACAGTTGGTTTGACCACTCCTGACGTTTTCTCTCTCTCCGATTGGTTTATGTTCATTTTTCATTCAAATGATGGCCTCACCTTCAGACTTCCTGTGCATGTTTCAACATCAAAAGCATGTGTGTGTGTTATCTGGCTTCATGGACAGATAGAGCTGGGTGTCATCTGCATAGCAGTGTAAATGTATGCTATGTCTTCTAATGATGCTGCCTAAGGGAAGCATGTATAATGTACACAGAATTGGTCCTAGCACTGAACCCTGTGGAACTCCATAATTAACCTCAGTGTGTGAAGAGGACTCTCCATTTACATGCACAAACTGGAGTCTATTAGATAGATATGATACAAACCACTGCAGCACAGCACCTGTAATACCTACAGCATGTTCTAATCGCTCTAACAGGATATTATGGTCGACAGTATCGAACGCTGCACTGAGCCATTCCTCTGCAGATGAGAGAGCGATAGGTTGATCATATTCAGGAAACACTGTTAAATGTTCAGTTTCTATGCCATATGTTAACACAAGATCTAGAGTGTAATTAAAGTGGTGGGTGGGTTCTTTTACATTTTGAGCCAATTGAGTCTAATAACAGATTAAATGCCACGTTGAGGCTGTCATTTTTAGCATCTACATGGATGTTAAAATCACCCACAATAATTATTTTATCTGAGCTGAGAACTAATCAGATAAAAGTCTGAGAAATCAGACAGAAACTCTGTGTAAGGCCCTGGTGGACGATAGATGATAACAAGTAAGACTGGTTTTGATTGCTGCCACATCCGCTCCTCAGCTTGTGCTTTTCTGGTAGTTAGAATGATTAGAATCATACTGCTGCAACCAGGTTTCTGTAATTCGATTTTTGATCAATTATTAGTTTATGTACTAAAAGGGACTTAGAAGAGACTTTGAATGCATCTCAATACAATTCATGAAAAAAGATAAAATAACTAAAAATAACAGACATATAAAAGCAGATTGCAGTGAGGAAACCATCAAAATTTAAAATAAAGCATGTACATTTTAAAGATAATTTATGAATCATTTATAGATAACTGCGCACTTCCTGTTTAGTTTGCTCTGGTCCCTGTTTACCAAACAGATCCATTTTCATTAAGACAAATAAATCCCAGATTAAATGTGAATTAAGATTGTCTCTTCCAATGTAAGTGAAGTTAATTCTCAGCTATCAAATCATAATTACAGGTTTTCCAAGCAGCTGGTGCCACACATGAACTCTGCTGTCAGATACGGTGTATTCGTTAGGAGAGGAGCTCCTTCACAAAGAAAACCCAACGCCGAGAGGAATGAATCAGCCCAAAGAGACAGTGGGAGAGCATATTAAAGCAAAGCCAAAGGTTTCCTTCCTGTCAAAGCTCATTTAAAGTGAAACAAACTGAAAGAGACAGACAGTGGAAAAAGACGGAAAACAGGAGAAAAACCAACACTCCCAGCTGTCAGCCGGCTCACAGCTCAGC